ACATTTTTTTTTAACGTAGTATCTCTGCCAAGTCATAGAATTACTGCAATTTCATAGTTTTTTTTAGGAAATCTGTTATGTTATAGTATTACTACTAAGTCATAGTATTTCTGCCAAATCATAGTCACTAGGGGGCTGACTGTTTTACTAAGTGCATCAGTGTAAATATGTCATCTCTTGTGTTGGAGTGTCCTCTTGTGGCGCCTTTTGGGTAGTGCCTTAGTAAATGTGAACCAAGCAAAAACCTCTTTTCAGCAGAATTCTGCTGATTCACCTCTTTTCAGCAGAATTCTGCTCATTCAACTCTTTTCAGCAGAAATTTTGCTAATTGAACTCTTTTCAGCAGAATTTCTGCTTATTCACCTCTTCTGTAAAATTTTCAGCCTTTCCACCTCTTATCAGCACAATTCTCAGCAGCTTCTATGTCATCTCTTGTGTTGGAGTGTCCTCTTGTGGCACCTTTTGGGTAGTGCCTTAGTAAATGTGAATCAAGCAAAAACCTCATTTTAAGCAGAAATTCTGCTCATTCAACTCTTTTCAGCAGAAATTCTGCTGATTCACCTCTTATCAGCACAATTCTAAGCAGCTTCTGCTAATTTCACCAGAATTGTCAGTCTCGCCACCTCTTCTTTGTGCGAATGAGTTTGGTGCAGTGAGGTGAGTCGCCGCCTTTAGCCCAGAAGGGCCAGGTTTGAATCCTGCTCACGGCAATGTTTTTTGCTTTTTCAGCTTTTTTCACCAGACATCTTCAGCGTTAAGGCATCCACACAGCATTTTCGCAGGAAATGCAAATTTTTCTAGTTCTTTATTATTATTCTTCAAGTTGCTCCGTTTTTTCCGTTTTTTGTCCGCTAACTACTCCTTCAGTTTTTGTGCTATTTTCTCAGTTCAAATCTTAAAAAATTCTGCTCTTTCTGCTCTTTCCTGCTATGACTTTTGGTGCTCATAACTTCTATACTTTTTGAGATATTGATTTTTCTTTTCAATATTTTTTGCTCTTTTCTGCATATTATAAGTGGCCTCACTGATATTCCTTGCCGGCTTGACCTGTGTTTTAGCTCAGTGAGATGAGCATCCATTCTCGGACTGGGAGGCCCGGGTTCAAATCCCGCTTATGGCAACATTTCTTTCAGTTAACACTTAAACTTTTTTAAGTCTTTTGAACACAAATTTCAGCTTTTTCACCCCTTTTCAGCACATTTTTCAGTTTTTTCACCACTTTTCATCACAAATACCAGCTTTTTCAGCTCTTTTCAGCAAAACCTCTTTTCAGCAGAAATTCTGCTCATTCAACTCTTTTCAGCAGAAATTCTGCTGATTGAACTCTTTTCAGCAGAATTCTGCTCATTCACCTCTTTTCAGCAGAAATTCTGCTCATTCAACTCTTTTCAGCAGAAATTCTGCTCATTCAACTCTTTTCAGCAGAAATTCTGCTGATTAAACTCTTTTCAGCAGAAAATCTGCTCATTCAAGTCTTTTTAGCAGAATATCTGCTGATTGAACTCTTTTCAGCAGAAATTCTGCTGATTAACCTCTTTTCAGCAGAATTCTGCTCATTGAACTCTTTTCAGCAGAAATTCTGCTGATTAAACTCTTCAGCAGAAATTCTGCTGATTGAACTCTTCAGCAGAAATTCTGCTGATTGAACTCTTTTCAGCTTAAAAAATCCTGCTCTTTCTGCTCTTTCCGGCTATGACTTTTGGTGCTCATAACTTCTATACTTTTTGAGATATTGATTTTTCTTTTCAATATTTTTTGCCCTTTTTTGCATATTATCAGTGGCCTCACTGATTTTCCTTGCCGGGTTGACCTGTGTTTTAGCTTTTTCACCCCTTTTCAGCACATTTTTCAGTTTTTCACCACTTTTCATCACAAATACCAGCTTTTTCAGCTCTTTTCAGCAAAACCTCTTTTCAGCAGAATTCTGCTCATTCAACTCTTTTCAGCAGAAATTCTGCTGATTAAACTCTTTTCAGCAAAATTTTCAGTTTTTTCTGATGTTTTCAGAAAAAAACTCTTTTCAGCAGAAATTCTGCCAATTGAACTCTTTTCAGCAGAAATTCTGCTGATTAAACTGTTCTCAGCAGAAATTCTGCTGATTAACCTCTTTTCAGCAGAAATTCTGCTCATTCAACTCTTTTCAGCAGAAAGTCTGCTGATTCAACTCTTTTCAGCAGAAATTCTGCTTATTCACCTCTTCTGTAAAAATTTCAGCCTTTCCACCTCAGCACAATACTCAGCAGCTTCTATGTCATCTCTTGTGTTGGAGTGTCCTCTTGTGGCACCTTTTGGGTAGTGCCTTAGTAAATGTGAATCAAGCAAAAACCTCTTTTCAGCAGAATTCTGCTGATTCACCTCTTTTCAGCAGAAATTCTGCTCATTCAACTCTTTTCAGCACAATTCTCAGCCTTTTCTGCTCATTTCAGCACAATTGTCAGTCTCTCCACCTCTTCTTTGTGAGAAAGAGTCTGGCGCAGCGAGATGAGAACCTCCCTTGAGTACCAGAGGGGCCAGGTTCGAATCCTGCTCAGTGCAACATTTTTTTGGGTTTTTTTTCAGCTTTTTCAGCTTTTTTCAGCAGATATCTTCAGCCCTTAAGGCATCCACACAGCATTGTCGCAGGAATTGCAAATTTTTCTAGTTATTCTAGTTGCTTCCGTACGTTTTTTGGACCGCTTCTCCTCCCACAGTTTTTGTGCTTTCACCATTCAAATCTTAAAAAATTCTGCTCTTTCTGCTCTTTCCGGCTATGACTTTTGGTGCTCATAACTTCTATACTTTTTGAGATATTGATTTTTCTTTTCAACATTTTTTGCCCTTTTTTGCATATTATAAGTGGCCTCACTGATTTTCCTTGCCGGGTTGACCTGTGTTGCAGTAGTACGGCCTGTCTACCCTTATTTGGAATTTTTTTTTTGGAGCCGTATGAATGGCAAACTACACTCATTGGCAGCGGCATAGGCACACTTAAAATTTCTTCAGAAATTTTTGCTTTCTAGTTATTATTTTCCTTTTTCCGCCTGAAATTTTGGAGCGTAACTCATCCCACAGTTTTGACACAAGCTTCATATATGTTATATCATTTTATGCGGCTGGGTCTGTACTAGTATGCTATGACTTTTGGTGTTCATAACTTTTATAGTTTTTTAAATATTTAGATTTTAGTGCAAATTTGCCTGAAATTTCGCCGCGTAACTCGCCGCACAGTTTTGAGACAAGGTTCACATATGTTATATCATTTTGTGCGGCTGGAGCTGGAATGGTGTGCTATGACTTTTGGTGTTTATTACTTCTATAGTTTTTTAAATATGAATATTTTAATGCTAGTTTTTGCCTATTGAAATGAATGGGAAGGAAAGTGAAACTTAACTTGAAACGAAAGTGAAACTTAATTTGTGGTGTGTTGGCTCACTCACTTAATTTGTGGTGTGTTGGCTCACTCTAGGGGTATGCCAGCAGTAGTACGGCCTGTCTACCCTGATTTGGATTTTTTTTTTTGGAACCGTATGAATGGCAAACTACACTCATTGGCAGCGGCATAGGCACACTTAAAATTTCTTCAGAAATTTTCGCTTTCTAGTTTCTTTCTGTCCTTCTGCTAAATCAGACATTCGAAATCTTGGATTAATATTTGACTCTTCTCTGGGCCTTGACTCGCACGTAAAATCTTTGTCTCATTCCTGTTTTTTATTATTATTTATTTAAGGAACATTTCTAAACTGCGACACATGGTCTCCTCAGCTGAACTGAAAAAAAATTGTTCATGCATTTGTGTCATCACATTTAGATTATTGTAATGCCTTGTTTACCGGCTTGGACAAATCATCTCTTTCTCGCCTCCTGTTGGGTTGATTTTGATAATAGTTCTCATTGTTGTACTTAAATTTGTAAACCTTGCCCTGAACTGCATGTTCAGATATTTTTCTGTCCCTCCCCTACATCTAGGTGGGGGATGCTATAGTGTTTAACTGCAGGCACATTCCATATAAAGTTTCTGGTTTCCTTATCTGGTAAGGGATGTTCACTCCCGGCCATTTAGGGGCTTGCCTACGCCTATGCTTGCATGTGGTGAACCATTAAAGTTAAGCCATATACGGGTGAGGGGAGATGACCTTTGGATAACTAGGAAATGTTATCCAAAGGTCACATATACAGAGACACACACACACGTGCTCACACATGCATACACACACACAGTGCCTTAGTTTTATGACCATAGGGGTTTTACAATGGGTGGTGCTTGTGTTCACAGAATAAAGGCTGCAGGGAAGGCTGGTTTTCTTTGGAGTTGGCTGGAAACAGGTGAGGAGCTTTCAGCTCCAAGAGCCTGGTTCCGATCGGCTTCCCTTGCGCCCAAGTTAAAAACCAGTTAAGCTCTGATGTCTTGCTTTGTTGATGGGTGATAAGTCTCTGAACCAGCGGGGCCTGCAAGTGCAAACCCAAGACCTCCAAGCTATACAAAATGTATAGGGCTTCGGAGCGTGATGTCACGGGGGTGGGCGTGGAAAGGATTTTGGCCCGATTCACCATTTTGGGGGTCTAAGCTAGGAGCGATAGCATAGCCATGGTTCGTACTTGCTGTGTGCTCGGCTGCAATGTTCAATCTTACGACCGGCACGGGAATAAGGTTGGATTGTCTTTTTATGCTTTCCCAACCTGGAAGCAACGTGAAGGAGCTCATGTATCGGATGTTACCAAACGAAGGCGTCTAGCCTGGATAGCAGCCGTGAGACGAGCTGATATCAAGTTCTGTTACGTCTCCAGATATCAGCTGGTGTGCTCACGACATTTTCATTCCGGTAAGTTCTAAATATGTTCTTATCACACTTTATAGCTGAATAATATTACCATTGATGGTCTCGGAAGTTATAGAAATTGCGATCAAACATCGAATGGAGTGACTTTGCAGACATATGTGCTATGTAACGATTCGCTAATTGTTTCGCACAACTGTAGGGAAGCCTGCCTATGAAATGGATCAAACAAATACAGACTGGGTACCAACGCTACACATGGGGCACTCCGAAATCCGAACATCACATTCAGACCGTCACAGGAGGCGAACACAACGTCAACAAAATAAAGTACTATTTGGAGGTAAACGACAACCGCACCCCCAGCCACAGTCTCTTATTTTAAAAGTTGATCTTAGTCAATTAACACAAACATTTTTGAGTATTCATACGGCCTTAATTTATAAACCATTTAAAAGTTCCCTTGTGTATTTGCACTCTTTTTATTGGACAGGCTTTGACAATGGAGCAGCAGAGTGTGAAGGTGAAGCCTCAGCAGAATGTCAAGGTGAAGCCTCAGCAGAGTGTGAAGGTGAAGCCTCAGCAGAAGTTACCACAGAAGAGCAGCCAGAGATGGACACCACCGAAGAGCAACACCATAACAACCTTGTTATTTTGGCTGAGGGACAAATTTGTGCTGGACAAGTAGAAGCAGAGGTAACGGGTGCTGATGCAGAAAACATTGATATCAGAGAGAAACAGACAGAAGATCAACAACTGACAAATGATTGTGTGCACTGTGTACAGAGCAGAGCAGAAATAAACCGGCTGCTGGAGGAGAACAGAAAGCTTAAATCAAAGTTGGACAAGACAGAGCTGAATGAAAACTTTTTAAAGGGTGACACGGAAAAAGTGAAATATTACACCGGTTTTACTTGTTTTGCTATTTTTATGTCCGTGCTCGAGAATGTAAAAGCTTTCCTACCAGCATCAAAGAAACTGTCGCATTTCCAAATGCTTTTACTCACACTTATGCGACTTAGACTTGATCTTCCTGTCCAGCATCTTAGTTATCTATTCAATGTCTCCTACAAAACTCTTTCTTCTGTCTTTTCTGATACAATTGACGTGTTGCATGCTCGCTTTGGAATACTTGTACACTGGCCAGAGAGGCACTGTTTGCAAGCAACAATGCCACCACAATTTACGGACACTTTTGGAAATCGTGTAGCCATCATTGTAGACTGTTTTGAAATTCGTACAGAACGACCATCTAATTTAAAGGCTCGTGCTCAAACGTACTCACACTACAAGGGTACACACACCATGAAATATCTGATCGGGACTACTCCACAAGGTGCAATTTCATTCATTTCTAAGGGGTGGGGGGGCCGTGCATCAGATAAACACATCACAGAGCAATGTGGCATACTTAACAAGCTGTTACCAGGGGATGTAGTTTTGGCTGACAGAGGCTTTGACATCAGAGATGCGGTGGGAATGATGTGTGCGGAGGTAAAGATCCCAGCATTTACAAGGGGCTTCTGTCAACTAGATGCCAAGGACATAGAAAATACACGAGCCATTGCACACCTAAGAATCCATGTTGAACGAGTAATTGGCAGTTTGCGCAACAAATTCAAAATGCTACATACTACCATGCCAATCCGTTCTCTTCTTCCATGTGAGGGTGAAGACGTTACCTTCCTTGATAAAATTGTGAGGGTGTGTTGTGTTTTGGTTAACATGTGCCCCAGTGTGGTAGTGAAACCAGGCACACATGAGACTTGTACTTGTTAATTAATAATTGTTTAAAAAAGGAAAACCTTTTTAGTTTTTGTATGCGTGACTGTATGAACACATTGACATTGCGTTATGTAACCATTTCTGTACCTGTATACTATAAGCGAAAGTTTATCATCACTTTGGACTCTTTGTTTCACTAAAATTACGTTATAATAAAAGCAAGATAACAAATAACTGCTTTGCACTCTTTATTTCACACTTTGACAATTGGTACATGGTAAGTGCTGCACGTTTGAAATCCTCAATAGCTTCTGCCTGTTCTTCAGTTACTTTAGCTGTGTTTATGTACTTTACGCAGTGCAGTTGTAGCTCGGTAAGGCCAAGGGACTGTGCACCTGTGCTGTGCAAACACGCCAGAGACAGTGGTAATGTGGATGACTGTACAGTGTGTGATGTGTAGTATTTCTCCAATCCAGACAAACACACTGCTTTATTGTGTTTTTGAAGTGTGTCTAACACTGGTGACAACTCCTCAAACGTAGCAGAGGAAATCTTTCTTTTTGAAGGACGGCTTCTTCTGCCTTTCACCACAGACGGTCCGTTTATATTTTCATCAAGAGTCTTTTTTTGTGCTGCTGAAGATGTAAAGTCAATGTTATGGCCAACCTCTGGCTGTATCTTGGTTGTGTTCCCCGGCAAAACCCAGTAGGCTGGTTCATCTGTGACTGTCTTTGTGCCACGTATCCTCACTGTTGCCTCCACTTTAAACAGAAGTGCAGCGACATGGGTGCAGGTCTCAGCAACTCCGGCCATACAGGTGCAGTGTGCAGTTTCGACCTTCCCTGTGGTGCTTACAATTACCCATGGTCGTAATGCAGGTTCATTCAATCTTTGGGAGTGCAGTACCTGTAACATGCAAGGACAAGGTTGATGTAAAGACAATAAATGAAATGAGACAGGGAGGACACTGATTGGCGTTAATAATTTGCCCGATTATCAATGTGTTAATTTGCATCTACTATACAATTATGGGCACATAATATGATAACGATATTTTAACAGTTCAATGATAAAGATTTAACATTAATTATGGTGGGGGGTGGAAAATGGCTATGTCACTCGATGCACTCCAGCTGACTTACCTTGGTATGAATGACGACGTACTCAGATTTTGGCGGCTTGAAAATAGCCAAATCTTGCACCCAGCCATTTGTAAATTGGATATGCGCCTCCAGTGACTTGTAATTACGAAACTGGTTCGCAGTGTAAGCACTTACTCCACAAACAAGATAGGTGAAGATATCGGGGTAGGACAGTGGCGGTAAGTCGTCTGGGTCTTTACTCCACTGCCGTATGTCGTATGGGTCCAGATTTGCGATGCACTCTATTTTTTTCAAATACCGCTGCTTCGCCTCTGGACGCAATCGATCTCTATACCGTCCGTTTTCTTTCGAGCTGCTTTTAAGCATGTTTCTTGTCGTAGTCGCCGTTCCAATACAGTGTATTTGTTTGGATCGTAGACCCCGAAAATGGAGCTGCGCTCCCACAATGCATTGCGGCGTGACGTCAACTCCGAAGCCCTATAGCACAGTGGCCAGACTACTAACACGTTCTAGCAAGCGAGATCAATATATATATTTGTAGGTTGTGTATCCTTGAGGTGTTAATGGGGTTATTGAAAATGTGTATATGTGCGTATGTGTATATACGTATGTATGGATAGATAGAAACATAGATGTATATAAAAAAAAATAAAAAATTACACATGACATATAATGTAATTGCAAGGAGGTATTTTTGTAGTCTATTGATACTATATAGTGGAAAAGGGGTGGGATTAAATAAGCTTATGCTTCTTCCTGCTCCTTTTTGAACAAGAACGTTATTTGGAGTTGTGGTTGCTCGTTTTCCTTTTGTTTTGCTTTGTTCATTTGTCTCTTTTAATTCTATTTTGTTGTACTTTTTCAACATGTTCAAAATAAAGATTCAATCAATCAATCAATCAATCAATCAAGTTAATCCTATTTTATATTCTTTACATTGGCTCCCAGTAGGTTTTTAGAATTAGTTTTAAAGTTCTTGCTTAACATACAGAGCACTAAATGGCCAGGCTAGTTTCAGTTATTATGCAAATGTACTGTTTATAAGGATGGGGAAACCTGAGGTCAGCTGAGACTGAAGAAGTCACTTGGATGAGTGACGAAATGTTTCTCCCACTGAAAACAGTACGTCCAGATGAACAGAATCAACTTTTTGGATTTACTTACCTGTATGATTGAGCATGAATCAAGATAATTTAACCCACTTTGCCAAGGACTGCCTAAAGCTTCTACATCGGTATGAGCAAACAGCATGTAAGATGGCTGATTACAGGAACCACCTGAGATTCAGCCTCAGATGCCAACAAAATGGGATTAAATGAGCTAAAACTAAAATGAGCTCATCAGTAAAAGGCTTCCGGGCAACAAAAACCCTCCAGAAAGCACAGCACCAGTTGCTTAATGAACGGGTTAGGCAAACAAATTTTACCATTGACGTGCATCCGGCAGAGACTTACAATGCTTCTAGATGAGAATACTCTTAAAAGGTGTTTGAATTCACTAAGAAGGCTTGTCTAGCACTGGATGAGAAGTCTAAGACCAGGCAACAAAGGAAGCTTGACTTACTTTTTGTACGTCGGAAACCACAGCAAAATAAGGAGTGTCCAGAAGAGAGAAGGATGCCACACCGAGGATGTGGATAAGTGGGTGAAGAATTTGTCTGACAGACAGCTCATGCAACCAGAGAAAAACATCCTTGCTAAAGGGTTGAATTTTGCTATGACGCCGAGACAAATCGCGCTTGTGGAACTGATCACAGCCACAGCAACAGCAATTCCAAACAACAACACTACAGACAGCATTAACATCAGCTCTTCTTTGACAGCATGATGGGAGTTTCTAAAAATAATGGAGTCTTTATTAATCCCATGCAAACGTACACCTATCTGGAACAACCCTGACATATTACAAAACAAAAATATGATTAATTTTCCACCACACCCACCCAAACATGCAAGGCCTTGGGGTGCAGGTGTGTCTATAGGGTGCAGGGGAGGCATTCCGTCCCCTCCCCCCATCCCCTTCTGGCCACCTGTGCCTCAATTTTATTCCACAACTTAGACATCCACATTACTCACACTCTCATAACACATACATATAGGGCCTTGGGGTGGGCACGTCACACGACGTCCAGAAGACGGTCTGTGTATTTAACCTCGCCTCTGGCGCCGGTGCCCACCTCTCAATTTTAAATGTATGTAGACATTGAGGGTCCTCGGGGGCGGGGCTGTGCTGACACCTGATGCTCTCTGGCAGAAAGCACCATGCCCTCCTGTCTTTTAAATACACTTTAGTACAACACGCAGCAACACTACACATGAGCGGGAGGAGGTAGGGTATGGGGTCTTCACACACCCCCATTCTCTGTTAGCCATCAGGGCGGAGGGGCTGTGCGGAGGTGTCGGCCATCTGATTAGGGTGGTGGGATGCGGGGCCTCCCTGCTGCTGCGGGGCTGGGGGCGGTCTGCTTGTCTCCACCCTGGGGGAAATGGTCACATCTCCTGGGTCTAGGTGCAATTTCCTCCTCAGGGGGCGAGGGTACCTGGACCTGGGGTATAGAGTATGTTTGGGGATTGTGATTATGTGTACAGTGTTAATTGGTGTCTGTCTTTAAGTTTGGTGAGTGCTGAGTAGGGATGGGTATCGAAACCCGGTTCGAGACTGAAGATGGCGCCGGTGAGGTCGGCTGCCGTGCTGGACGCTCTGCCCCAACTTTTCCACTTTTTGTGGTTTTTCATCACTTTTTGCTATATCTGCCATAATCTTGCATGGGCATCATGCAAAACACACAAATTTGCTACAGTAGAGACAGTAGAGACACTCTGGTTTCTATTGGTCTACAATACACGAACATTTCACCATTTTTAACTGGTGGGTGATGGGCTCCGCCAGGGCTGCCCTTTGTCACCGGTTCTGTTCATAATTTTTATGGACAGGATTTCTAGGCGCAGCCAAGTGGCTGAGGGCTTTCGCTTTGGTGGCCTCAGAATCTCATCTCTGATTTTTGCGGATGATGTGGTTCTGTTGGCTTCATCGGGTGAGGGCCTCCAGCTCGCACTGGAACGGTTCGCAGCCGAGTGTGAAGCAGCGGGAATGAGGATCAGCACCTCCAAATCTGAGGCCATGGTTCTCAGCCG